GAAGTGTGTGTGTGTGCGCCGGCTTGATTGACAGGTCTAACGAATGCATACACAAAGTAATTAATTTAGTTTGAGGGAGGCCGTACAGGCATTAAGAACAGTAGGAACTAGTCAGTAATGGGTTTTAATTACTGATGCAGTGAAATAAACCACACATGCATAACTTGTAGCCCTGGCTCAAGATGCTGCTCTGCAAACAAAATGAATACCATCAAATAAATTCTTTAAGACAATGACAGAGAGAAGAAGAAGAAAGAGAGAGAAATAGAACAGAAGAACTTTAGCATTTCATTGCATGAGTGATTAAAAAGTACTTTGGAAAACAATGCATGCTCAAGAACCCCCGCCAACGTATTTTTGCAACTTATCACTGCTCCATTTGCCTGCATGCGTGTGTGTGCGTTTGGCATGCTCTCATTGACTATGAACGCTGGAGCTGTGCCAAGGCTGCTAATTAATTTGCACATTAACCAAATGTGTGTAATTGCTCGTGTGTGTGTGCATGAATACACCGAAAGAATAAACCACTCGCTTTATCTACTCTGGCTTGCTGCAAAATAAAATGCACCATACCAAGAGAGATCTCTCCAAAGTCTGTAAACGTTTTTAGTGTGGTTTCTGCTTAACGCACGTCATGCTCAATTATACTTTATTCAGTGTTGCTAATCATTCCCAGATCTTACTGGGCACCGTGCAAAAAGCTGAAAGGGATTTAAATGAAGTGTGACCTTTTTCCCTTGGTTTTCAATGGTTCTTTTTGCTGCTGCTTCACTAATTAGTCATTAGCTGACACTTTCTAATTCAAAATGACTTATGGTACACTAAATAAAATGACAATGCCTTCGGAGCAGCCTGAGGTCAGGTGCCATATTCGAAGGACAGTTCAAGGACCAATCAAACCTGCAAACTTTACATTGTTTAAATATATTTAAAATACAAATTTAACAGAAAATTTTAAATAAATAAATAAATAAATATTTTTTTATTTTTACAATAATAATTGTATTTGTTATCAAATAGGTTTTAAATTATATATATTACAATACTAATGTTATTTATTTATTTGGTCACACTTTATTTTAAGGTCCAGTTCTCACTATTAAGTAACTATTATGACTTTGGCCTCAATAAACTCCTAATTTGCTGCTTATTAATAGTTAGTAAGGTAATTGTTAAGTTTAGGTAGGTAGGATTAAGGGATCTATATTATGGTCATGCAGAATGAGGCATTAATATGTGCTTTATAAGTATTAACGAACAGCCAATATGCTAGTAATAAGCATGCTAGTTAATAGTGAGAATTGGTCCTTAAAATAAACTGTTACCATTTATTTTTATGACAACAAGATTATGCAATTCTCTTTTGTTCCTAGTTATTATTTCGATTTGGTGGTTTAATATGAGGAATATTCCTCAAGTGTATGGAGTTCTGAAGAAGAAAAAAAAAATCCTCAAAGCATCCTAGATTTGAAACTAAAATAAAACTGGTTAGAAGAAGACAGACAAGTCCTGACAGATGTTTTCTTTATTAAATGCTTTGACAGCGTTTCATTTGAATTACTTACATACTACAGTCTGACTTGTATCGTGTTACATTTCTGTAGTTTCTATCTACCTTATTTTGTAACACAGAAGTTATTTTCTGTAAATGTTGCATCTAGCCTGAGGCGTGTAGTTAACAGAAAGTGGCCCCCGGCGATGCTCCACCAATGTAGAGTGACAAAGCTCCCTCATGGGCGGAGCCGTGGCGATACGCTCATCAGGAATGCAGGGAGAAACCTCGATGGGACACTTTTTGGAGAGCTGATCTAAAAAAATTTCTGTACTTGATATGAATCAGTCTCCTCCTCTGTACTTTGCAAATTATGTCATCTAATTATAAGCACCTGAGGCACATCATCAGCAGGCAAACGAATTGGCAAATTAACTGAATAAATATGAAAATTTAAAACAAGAGGTGCCTGTGAAAGAAGAAAGCAAGAGCAGATTATTAAAAAGTGCTTCACATGAAGAAAATGGTTCTTTTAAGAACTGTTCACCGAAATGTTCTTTGGGGAACCAAAAATGGTTCTTTAATGGGATCGCTGCCAAAACCCCATTTTGGAACCTTTATATTTAAGAGTGTAGTTTGGTCACTCTGTCCACATTCTATACTCTGATTGGTAGTTTCCATGATGCATTGCTGCAGATGCACATCAGTTTAAATCAGCTCAGTTTTACAGCATCAGCAAGAGTCTCTGTCGCTCATGTCAACTCTCATTGAAAATGAATGGATTCCGGTCACAGTCACTGAAAATTGCTGTCAGATTGCATGAACGCCCTTTTAGTTTGTCCCTAACCCTGGGTGAGACTGACAGAGTCAATGAATCAATAAGCCGAGTGAATTAAACTGCTGGGAAAGTGAAGAGGGTCATTATTTAGCCCAATTTACCTTCCATTCGCAAAGTTTACAGAGAGCGGCCTTGCACAGGTCTGGTGCTGTAGCTTTATTAGAGACATTGCGATTCAGGTCGCTATTAGTTGCTAGCAATGAATTTTAGTGTGCCTGCAAGGCTTCTGAACAACTTTACCCTCTTTTCCCCCTAAAGAATCACCTTATCTTTAAGCAGAGCAGTTGATTAGCATAGTTCACCTCCTTTTGCCTCTGAAAAGTTGAGGCTAAAACCCTGATCGATTCTGCACGTGCGTTAAAGTTTCCGTCTGCTCTCAGGTTAAGGATGGAGAAGCTCTCGCGGTAACACTGACGGAGGCAAAATACTGCTCTGCCTCCCACAAACTCCTAAGCTAACATTTGTCTTTGGCTTTCCGTTGGGGCCACGGTACTTTCATGTTCTCTTTTCACACTGCCTCCTCAGCCGTTGCTGTAACCCGCCTCATCTCAGCTCGCAGAATATTAATACAGAAAGTTAGGGGGGAAAAGCTTCACATTTTCCCCCCCTTTGGGCTTCTGCAGGGGAGGAGGAGACCAGGACGCCTACAGAATATACATCAGATACTCTAATTTGAGCCTTGTATTCAGTGTGCATATAAAATGAAAAAGACATTATGAGAGCGTGGAAGAAGACATCTAGTGTGTGTGTGTGTGTGTGTGTGTGTGTGTGATATATTTCAACTTAAGTCCCACATGGGACGAGAAAGCACTTGTATTTTGTATTAGAATGAATATGACAGTGATGTACACACTCTTTTTGCGATGCCCTTACAGATATTCCCACATATGCCTCGACATGCAGAGCGAGCCTGAAGCCTTCTGGGTATATCAGACCACTGAGACGCCACACTGTGCAGCTCTGCTTCCATTCCTTTCTGAGCTCCATTCAGTTTAGCAACACAAAACGCTTTCAGATTCAAATCGCTCCATGACAAGCCACTTAGCCTGACAATAACCGTTCCCCTCTCTTTTCTCCTACATATAGCAGATGAATCATTCAAAATCGAGAAAGGTGGATGGGAGAAGAGAGAGATAGAGAGGACTGGTGGATGTTGTACTGTATCCTTGTCTCAGATTTGGATCCCATTAAACAATCTGAGTCGTGTTAGCGAGTGTGAAGTGTGTATTTGTGTGCACACTGTACACTTATGGCATCAGATTACACACACTGCTAGATGATATCACTGAGGGATAGATAAAAATAAAACAGACTACAGCATCAATAGGTCTCCCTGGTAGAATAACAGTAATAAAGAAATAAGTTTTTACATATTTAAAAAGTGATACTAATCAATAGTACCTAGCTACTGTACCTGTATATTATTCTATGACTTAACACATTTGCTCCTGCTTTTTTATGTTTGTTGAATTGGCATTTGTATACACTACTGTTCAAAAGTTTGGGGTCAGTACAATGTTTTACATTTTTTCCAAATAAATGCTGTATTTAAAACAAACAAATAAATAAATAAATAATGCAGCAAATCAGTAAAGCCCTTGGAGTGAATGGACCTTCAGATTCTTAAAACTGTAAATCACAGGGAAAAATGTTAACATTGAATACATTTTTTAAATATATTAAAATACAAAACATGTATTTTAAATTGTAATGCTATTTCACATTACTATTTTTACTGTATTTGTGATCAAATAAATGCAGCCTCTGTACCTGTATATTATTCTATGACTTAACACATTTGCTCCTGCTTTTTTATGTTTGTTGAATTGGCATTTGTATACACTACTGTTCAAAAGTTTGGGGTCAGTACAATGTTTTACATTTTTTCCAAATAAATGCTGTATTTAAAACAAACAAATAAATAAATAAATAATGCAGCAAATCAGTATATCAGAATGATTTCTGAAGGATCGTGTGACACTGAAGACTGGAGTAATGATGCTGAAAATGCAGCTTTGCATCACAGGAATAAATTAATAAACAAGGAATACATTTTAAAATATATTCAAATACAAAACATGTATTTTAAATTGTAATAATGTTTCACAATATTACTGTTTTTACTGTATTTTTGATCAAATAAATGCAGTCTTGGTAAGCATAAGAGACTTCCTTCAAAAACATTTGAAAAACGTTACAAACTCCAAACTTTTAAACAGTATAGTAGTGTATAGTTCATCCAAAAATTAATATTGTCATTAACATTATTTATGATAATTCATATTTTCATTTGTTCACCTTCATGTTCAAACTTGTATGGCTTTATGGAACACAAGGAAGAAATTTAGTCAGATTTTGCATGCTGCTTTTTGCACAAAATGAAAATAAATGGGGACTGAAGCTGTAAAAACCCCAAAATTACATAAAAGCACCATGTGTACAGTATATTCAAATGTACCATATAATATACCATATAAAATTCCATGTAAAGTTGCATATACCATATAAAGTTGCATCATATCATATGCTTGTTTGGTAGTCACTCAAGATATGTAAGGTTTTAATATGAGGATGCGTGAATGATAAATGAGGGTTTGGAACAACACAAGGTTAAGTCATTTATTTCAATTGATTTCAATGTTAGGGTAAACTACCCCTTTAAAAATGTACAAACTGATCTGCAAGTGCCATGTTGACTCCCTTGTGTACACTTCTGATGAGTGATCAGCATGGAATATTCTTTTCTGTATTTCAGAACTGATTTCTTTGGGGACAATTTACAGAATTGTGGTATGTGGAATGGATTTCAACATGGTAATATGTGTTAAATGCAGTAGAGAACAGTACAATATTATTGAAAGTAAGCCAAAGGTGTCAGTGCTGTGCAGAACTAAACAGGCATTCTGATTCTGCATGTTCACAGTCTGTGTGGGTCTGGTGATCAGGGATAGAAGAAATAAACACACAGAACATAAACCCTGACCTTTCTGCTTACCCCCTGAAGTGAAACACACTCATTATCATGCACACACTAACAGTTCAGACGGACCTCCGCTACTTCCAGAACCATTGCTATGGCAACATCGCACGTCTGCTCGTACGACTACACAGGTCTCTCTCTCTCTGTGATGGACACGTTCAGAGGAGGCTAAAGCCAGACTCACAGCAGGATGAATGTGGTGTATCTCAGAATCCTCATTCTCATTTGAATGTCTGTGTTATGTGTGTAAGTCACAGTACATTAGTTCTAGGTCTCTGTTAACAGCGTGACAAAGTGCGCTCTCTCCCATGCAGCTTTATTTCCTTCGGCTCTCTATTATTCAATCTTGACCCACACATCCATCCATCCATCCATCCCTCGCTCGCCCCATGCCCTCTTGTCTCCATCACCCTGACTGCTCTACCTTTTTTCATCATCAATAGCAAATAGCCCTCATCTACTGCTGCCCTAGAGGAAGAATCCAAGAAAACAGTCAACAGACACCATCCACTATCCTGTCCAACCTAATTCATCTATTGCCTACCACAACAAAGAGTTAATATTGAAATACCATTTTATTGATTAGAATTATCAATTAAAAAAAATAAAATAATAATAATAATAATAATAAAATAATAAAAATTATAATAATTATAAAAATTATAATAATAATAAAAATTATAATAATAGGTAGTACTGAGATAGATAGATAGATAGATAGATAGATATATATATATAGATAGATAGATAGATAGATACTCTCATATTATGTTTTTCACATGTGCGGCCTACTCTTTCCATTCCTCTGACCATGTGAGCATGAGTTGTGCGCTTTCTTTTGCAAGGGGTTACGACATCTGTGCAGGAACAAGGAAAGAGGAAAAAGACAGAAAGTGTCTCTCTTTTGAATATATAAAGATCAAGGGAAGATCAAAGGAGAGGACGCAGTAAGTCAGCTTATGGACGCTACATTTAATAGATGAAAGCATGACTGGCTCTCATACATGCTGTCTGTTTTCATTCATCCGGTCCATCCTCTCATCTCTTGATAACAGACTCAAGCACTCTGCTCAGGCTTTGGTTCACTGCTTAGACTCTCACCATAAAAATGATCAATGCAACTGAAAACCTTGCTAAAATCCTGAAATAAAAAATAGATTCCTACATTTTCGGAAGAACTGTGAGTTGTGTCTGCATGTGCAAAGGTTTCTTTCACTATGCCAGCATTGTCATGCAGTTGCTAATTACTTTTAGTATTTTACAGTATATGATGCTATGTAGTTGCTAGGGATGTTCTGGGGGTTTGCCAGGGCACTACTACTGTGGGTGGTTGCTAGGGTCTTATGAGTATTTTAATGTTTCTATGCAGTTGATAGGGTGTTCTTGCTGGCTGCTAGTATATTCTGAGTGTTTGACAGGGTGTTGCTAGAACACCAAACACTAGATTTCCCAATTGAGTTTCAGTATAGAAGGGAAAAAAACACTACTGTGGTAATACCATGCAGGTGGTTGCTAGAGTGCTCAGGGTGTTTATAGGGTGTTTTAAGTATTTTCAGTGCGTTGCTAGGTGGTTGCTTATGTGTTCTAGGTTGCTGCAGAGCCATTACTACTGCAGGTGGTTGTTAGGGACTTGTGAGTATTTTTATTGTTTCTATGCAATTACGGTGTTCTGAGAACCGCATGCAGAGCGCCGTCGTCCGAAGATGGTCTTCGCTGCCTTCATGGAGTGGACTCTGGCGAGAAACGGATTGCCATCCTGCCCCGTGGATGATCGCGTCAGATCCACTCCAGACCCAGAGCCCAGCCCACCAGCTAAAGCCCGAGCCCACCGATGACGGAGAGACAATTCCCGCCGCGATCTACGAGCCAGCGCAATGCCGAGCGACTGA